ATTGTTGCATTGGATTGCTGCGGCAGAGGAATCCAATAAGAGGAGATGCTTCAAATGCTCTGTGCGGTCGAAGCTACACAATAGTGCAGGCCTCTGCGCTACAACGACGCGATGCAGCTAGCGGTTTCACCCCGAGTGACTGCACACGCGTGGAGACGATGTGCCTAAGAAACGGCGTTGCGACAGCACTGATGCTATGCTGATTGGACTCCATGTTGCAGTTCCCATTTTTTTTTCAAAACGGCGTGGCACGCGCGGCATGCTGCTGACAGAATCAAAAAAAAGTACCCCACATGATATTAGCTTTAGCTAATGTTGTTAGAACAACACGACTTCAGGCCCGCAAGAACTGCGATATGTGGATCATTTGCTCTTCAGTCGCCGGCATGTCTTGTGTCTTATAATGGCTGTTGCACAGTTGTTGCGGAAGAGCCGTGTGGCACCTGTTGTGGTCCAGTCGCAGCTCCCGCAACCTTGGCAGTGCCGTCAACCCAGAGCAGCTGGCCACCTTGTTGTGCTGAAGGCTGAGAGTGGAGAGGAAAGGGAGGCTTCCAATGCCGTCCAGCCGTTCCAAAGAGTTGGAGTCGAGCACCAGGGATCGGAGCTTGGAGAAGTCGGATAAGTCCCGGATGGCGGAAATTCGGTTGCGAGACAGATACGCTTGGCGCAGATTCCGGGTTGCCGGTTGGGTTTCGAGAATCTGCGCAGACGCGCCAAATTTGGGGATCGCTTCGAAAGTATTCCTCTCGAACTTTTGCATGTGTCTCAGCACTTTAGATGTGGGCAGGAATGGGTCATTGGGATGCAACGCATTGGATCTTTCGATTCTCGATGAGAGGGTCTCCCACGTGTCTGAAATGAAGGGTTCGAGCCTTAAACGGGGAAGCATTTGCTCATGATCGATACATGTACAAATAATACATTACCACATGTGTGTCTTAGGGTATCTAGGGTACTCAGATGAGATATGTACTCGCGGTGCGTAGGGGCTCACCTAAATTGCATGTGATCTGCCAGGGATCCAAGATTTGTATGTGCGCTAACATCCCCACATCCAACGTGGAGGAGGATGAGACCCCGAGCATTTTAAATGCAAATTAGGGAATGAATTTGCCGCGGCGAGCGTTTAATTAGGGTTACTTTACTTATTATGAGACATACATCATGCTGCGCGGACGTTCATGGAACGTTAAATTAAAGGTAACAGCCTTGGAAAAATTGGGTACGAAGCAAGGGGACTGTTGGGAAGTATTCCCTAAGCAATGCACACATTTCATCATAGCAATCTCCTTTTGTCTACATTTTGATTTCAGCTCATTGCCGTTTGCATTTCGAGTAAGCCTTACGCCTATGAGCATTGCCTTAGGTCAGAGGATGCAGCGCCTAGCAATAGCCCAAAGAAACGGTATTTTGCAGACAAACGATTTCAATATTCTCGACCATGTATTCTCAATGTGTGCACGCATGGCCGTGACGAAAGACGAACACAACAAATAAGATGAAATGTCGTTTTAACGCATCACAAATCAAATAACTCAATATTTCTCATTAGAAATTGTCATGCACACAGAGATGCCGCAGATGGCCAACCTTGCTTTCCAGCACGAGGACTCCATTTTCCAGCGACCCCACCTGCTCCAGTTGGTTTCCGGAGGCGTCCAGGCTCGTCAGATGCTGCATGTTCCCCACCGCCGCCAGGTCCCTCAGGCAGTTGTCCTGAAGTTGAAGGTCCTGCACGTGGATATAGCCCCGCAGGCACTCTGCAGAATCCATCTCGCTGGCTTGGATGCACAGGCGCAGGTACGCATAACTCAGCCCGTTGGCCGTCCTGTCCAAATTCGATAGCCCCTTTTCAACCTGCTGCAGAGAAGACCATTTGGCTCTTTTGCTGATCCATTGACAATGCTTCGGCAGCTCGTGGACGAAACCCTTTTGCCGCCCCAAAACTTTTCAACCATGTTGGCACAGCCGGGAACAATAGGCCAAGGAGTGTAAAGTCGCAGGGCCCTTCAAGTCCGCCGGTCCGTCGCGGCCGATACGTTCGCAATGTAACCAGTGCAGCAACCGTTGCCGGGCAGATGTGCCGTACCGCAGTAAGTTGGGAAAATTTTCCCAGTTGGCATTATTGTCAATAATGGTTTGAGGTGAAATGCGTTATTCCCTCCGTACTAAGTTTCAGTATAAAAATGCACACTGCATAAATACTGCTGAATTATCATATGTGATTCAATATCATTGTATTGAGTTGCGGCTCAAAGGATTTGTTGTTTCTGGCAGTATCCCTCATGTTCAGATGCATTCAGATGGCAATTCAGGATGAGAAACAATTAAATGCGCAATGGCGTTATTCGAGCTACCAGCCCATAAAAAGAAGATGGAGAAACTGAAAAGCCCTGCAGTGCTATTGCTTCCCTAGGAAATGGGATGGTCTGAATGCCACCCGTTCGCCCAGGACAAAATCGTATTCTGTAACCACAGACCGATCGATAGTCATCCCACTGGATTATCGCAGCTGCAGCCCCCTTCCTGAAGCGCTGACCCATGGCTCAGGAACTTTAGGCTGCTGCCGTGCTGTCAGCGTGCAATTTCTCGTTCCGGCGATAACAACAGCATCGCCGCTCGGCGTTACTGTGGATGCCGGTGAGCAGCCGCATTGTAAGCATGTGCGTTAACTACTGCTTCATTGCGGTTCAGCATGTTCGCGCCGTCGCGCTTCCACACTGGGCACCTTTTGCCCGGCATGCTGCGCCATACATCTCCTGGAGCTGGGCCCTTCCACAGATGTTGTTACCCCCAAAACTTTGGGCCATTCGGGGCCACCCCGACCTTGGCAACGGTTGCCCCCCACCACCCAAAGCTCGCGTGACAGCGACGTGGGCTGAAAAGGCGCCATTCCAGTCATCGGCCCGTTTCTGGCGCGGGGCTGACAAAACCCACCAGTTCTTTGGTGAGGGGCTGCTTGACTTTCTCCCTGCTGCCTGGCCGGGCCCCCGCCGGCGACTCGGTGCCACTTGCCTTCCCTTCCATGAAGCCTGTCGCGTTGTTCTAGCGGTGCGGGGCGGCGATTTCGGCGGGGAGCGCACTAGGTTGAGACCTCATGCTGCTTGTGTCTGTGCAAGCGCGCTCGTGTGTCTCTTTTCATGATCATATTGGAGGGAAGGTAGGACTTAAATTGGTCAGTGTCTCCGCTCAGTCCTCAGGCGCATCATCTGTAAACGAGTGGAATTGACACGTGATCACAATTTCGGATCAGCTAATCGGTAATGCTTCGTCAGGGAAAAAAATACACCTCCCGCTGCATCTTCCCAAGTCGAGCCACAAAAGCATGTATTGCGCCCGTTTCTCCTTCGTTACTCCTGCCCAACACACTAGCAAGAAAAGGACCAAATAGCACTATTTGCGAACACATACATATGCATTTCGTCAGTGTTCTGCATGCAAACAACACGGAAATAACCCAAACCCGTAAACTGTGTACACGTTTAAACACGTGCTGTTTGGCCCTTTTTTTCCTACTGAAACTACTGACTCTCATTCTCACATCACGGACGCTGCTTTGCTTGTGCATAATAGGAAGCGGACGGCTACCTCCTTGCCTTGTTGTGTAAAAGTGAATGCCGCCTCTGCCGCCGTCGCTGCTGCTGCTGCTCAGTGTCACAATTTCCACACAATCAACTTGGAACAAGCATGGAAAGGGGCGTGTGGCGGACTGGGGCGAAAAAAATGTGTGCACTGTAACTGCCAGCGTAATCCCTTTGCCACGCCCAGGGTGTTGCAGACTCGGGCCATGGGCTCGGAGACGTGGCGGAGACGGTGCTGAAACGGAGGCCCAGTACATGCACACCCTGAACCCTAATGCCGCACCGCCCAATCCTGATCTGTCTCCCTCTCACTCACCGTCTCCATACTGTGGTGCTTAGATGCACAGTTCGAGGCGTGGTGGGTGATAATGAACGCGTTGGTTGTATGATGTGAGTGCCGCCGAATGTGACAGCGGCAAGTGCATGTCTTTGGCCAGACAGTGATTGTGAGCATCCTTTTCTCTGGCACGCACCCGCGCCACAGTACGGGGAAACCCAAAGCAAACCTCCAAACGCCCAATTGTGGCGCGTCTCCCCTTTCTCCAATGCGTCAAATGCGGACGCCCCCAACCCTAAATTTGACACGGCCACCAAATCAACCTGGTGGTGAGGTCGTTTGCCTCCGTCTCGTCACCGCGCTGATGGTCCGTATCCGCAACGGTCGTGCCACGTCAGCCCCAGCTCTCCCACCTTCTAGACCCCACACCGGCCAGGCAGGTCCCACGCCCGGCTCCAGGTTACACTCTTCCAGCGTCCTCGCTGTGCGCTGCCCGGCAGCGAGGTCCCCTGCCAAACGCCGACAACGCACGAGAGCCTCCGCTGACGGCGCCGCATCGGGGGGATCAATCGCCGATGGAGGCCACGGCCAGCCTGGAGCGGCTGCAGGAAATGTTCCCGCTGCCGCTGAGCACGCTCCTGGATGTCAAGGAGCAGGCTGCGGGCGCCAACAGGGACCCCACCGACGTCCTCTTGGAGATGTGCTCCCCCGGCGGGACGCCGAATGGCCCCCGCGCACCCCCGCTGCGTGACTCCACCTCGATGTCTTCGAACGAGTCAGCGGCCACTTATGCGCATCCCTTTCCCGCGGGGGGTCCGGTGGAATCGGGTTCAAACAGGCGAGAGGGAGGGGGTGGGGAGTGGTGGGTGGCCGATGGGCGGGATGCCTCATACGGGGTCTGCTCAGACTGGGCTGCCGTTGGCAGTCCTGTGAATGCGGCAGGGGGGTCAGTGTCACAGGCGGGCAGCGGCGACTGGCTGTCGGTCGGCGACGTGCCGAACGGCGTCAGCTGGCTGGAAGGCGGGGGCGGGAATGAGGCGGATTTTGAGGGGGAAGGGGGGGAGGGGGCCGGCCTCACGGAGGACGAGCGCAAGGTGGGGTTTTTGGAGATGATGTTCAAGGCCCACGATCTGCGCTGCGACATGGCCGTGGTGCTGGCCGACGCGGGCTGGGACCTGGACGCCGCGGTGGTGCGCCTGCTGAAAATCTCGCAGGCCGGGGGCGTGGAACCGGGGCCGGCGGCGATCGACGGTCCGGGGATCGCGCTGCTGCGGGTCAAATTTCCTGACGTGGACGAGGAGGTTGTTGAGCGGATGGTGGCACTTGCCGACGGGGACGTCGGCCTAGCCGAGGCGTGGCTGGGCGAGCACTTCGCCAGCCCCGCGGCGCGGCCCACGGGAGCATCTGAGACGGAGGAGATCGAGTGGAAGGTGCAGCAGCTGAGGGAGGACTTCGGCGATTTGAGCGAGGAGGAGGCGCGCCGCGCGCTGGTCGTCGGGGCGGGCGGGGATTACTCTCGGGCGCGCGCGATGCTGGTCGAGCGCCGAGCGGCTAGTGGCGCGGACGGGGGGAGGGCTTCGGGGGGGATCGCACAGGGGGAGGTGGTGCCCAAGTGGCGGGTCGACGGGGCCCCCCCGGACAACACGTGGAAGGCGCGTGTGCTGCGGAAGGAGTTCGGCTACGCTCCGGCGCCGGAGGAGCTGGTGGGCATCCTGGAGAGGGTGGGCGGTGACCTGGACGCCGCGAGGGCCGCGCTGGAGGAGGAGTATCCCAAAGTGGGGGCCAGGGGAGGCCTGGTGCCGCCGGGCAGCAGGGAAGGGGAGGGCGGCAAGATTTTTTGCAAAGAAAAACGGGTGATGCAGGGGGAGTGGGGACGGCGGGGGGCCCCGTCGCAGGTCGACCGGCAGAGGTACTTCGAGCAGAGGGGGCGGGAGGGCGGGGCCCGGGCGGGGTCGCCCTCCAAGCAGATGCCCCAGGAAGAGTTCCAGGACATGTACGACCAAGAGCGCAGGCCGGCGCAGGAGCTGCGGGACAAGATGTCGATGTGCATGAGGGAGTCCCGCGCGGCGTATAAGCGAGGGGACAAGGACAGGGCTAGCGAGTTGTCGCAGAAGGTGAGCGGTACCCTCACTTCCGTTGGCATGGTCGCTGTCGTTAATCGCCTAGATTTGGGTGTCAACGCCAGAGAGCATTGTGCCTGTTGAGTGTCCGCACCTGTCGGCAGCCTTGCAACCCTTGTATGAAGTTGTTGAGAGCATGTGCAGGTTGTCACTAGAGGTAAATAGCACAGTCTCCTTGAAGTTGCCTCTTGCGTCCAAATCCCGAGTGCATCTCTGTTCCCTGGAAGGAATGCAAGGGGGTCACGAGGATGCACGCATATGAAGCCATCGGATGGTGCCTTTGTGCACTGTTGCAAACAATGTTCTGTTATTCTGTTGACAGCACTATGTTCTTGTCTCCGTTGATCTGGGAGAGCACAAATCCTGACAAAACCAGACCTCAGGGTAATTGCTGCGAACCTTAAATCCTTTTTGGCCGCTTTTCTCGATGTGGGATTGGAGCGGTGCATAACAGAACGATGTCAAGGAGTGCCAGCCGAGATGTGGACCACCTGGACTGTAGCAGGCAGGGTGCAAGGATTCTCAACGTCTGCTGTGAATTTGTGGTGATGAGATTGGCGCTTCATGGCGTGAACGCAGCCAGCCCTGTGATGCCACAAAAACTCTCCTTCACCCTTCAAGGGTGCAGATGGGTATGCTTGGTTCTGTAAGGAGTTGCATGAAGCACACAAGAATGCCATCTCTAAAGACGACATATCTGATAAGATGCAACTGTTGGTGGCATCGGGAGCTGATACATATGGTTTCAGGGCGAATCCTGTGTAACAGCCATGCTTGTCACCTGCAATGAAGAATCTTGGTGATTGCAGGTGAGAATCCTCTGTCCAACTAACAGTTTCTACATGTGCCAAACAGGGAAAACAGTATAAGCAAATGGAGGAGAAAGAACAACAAAGAGCCTCAGATGTCATTTTCCGGAGAAGGTGCGGCCCAGGCGTGTTTTGTGACAAGAAAGTTTTGGTTTTGGACCTACCGAGACTGCTGAATTTAGTGGCAAGAAAGCAACAGGGTTGCAATGGCCAGCTTCCCCTGGGGAAGAATTAACGAAACGCTATTCAACGCTGTGGAAAGTGGGACTGAATTCTCCAAGCACTGCACAAATATCCTGCAGTGGATAGGAGCACGGGCAGCACATCATGATGTCATAATGTTTGATCTACAGGTTCCACCATCATATTGTACTGTAAACTTTACCATTCTGCGTTTTTGAATTTCAGCACCATGGTTGTGGCTCCTCATTTTGTGAAAAGAGAATTGCTTCATATTCAATGCAAAAATATCAGGTTCACCCAGCCCGCACTGCTGGCTTGTTGCTGCATGTAAAGTGCCTTGCTTTGCTCAAATACAAAGTCAAATACGGGCTGCGAAGCCAGCTGCTTGGAGCCAGAAGGGGCTTTTATTCACTTGGCAGCCTCGCTTTTTTTAAGAACCATTATCGAAGATACTATTTTTCCCCATTTTAGGGCCCAGCATTTCGCTGATGTGAGGCAGTGCATTATAGTATGGTGCATTTTGCCTCCGACTTCCTGCGTGCTGCTGCAGCCGCGTTGAACATTCTCTGATAGGCGTTGTTGGTCTTCCCAGTGTTGGCTGACACTGCTGGTCGACAATCCAGGGTGCAAAGTTGTCAATAGCGGCACCTGTGTTGGGACACAGCCTATTTGTGAATGTGGATGATGGTTGGTCTCCTTGGGGACCTTGCGCTGTGTGCCTTGCGTCTCTTGTGATTTATGATGTCAGCACCGAATCAATCCCTTACTCTGTTCTCTAGTGTGTGTGATTTGTTGCATGTTGATATAATGTACTTGAAACAGATGCATTCATGTCCATGCTGTGAGCTTCCTTTGTCAATTTGAGCCTTCCTTGTTGGTTTCTGGGTGCGAGAGTTTGAAGATGCAGTGTTTGGAATGCGAATGCTCATCGCTGGTCGCTTGCTCCTGTACCAACTGCTGCAGGCCTCACTGCAGTTGAGAAACGCTGCTGACTTATGGTTAAAGGACGTGTGCGCTGTGCTCTGCAGAAATGAAACAATTGTTAATGAATTTAAAGTGGATCTGCATGGCATGCACGTCGAAGAAGCGCGGAAAAGAGTGGATTGGGTGTTGACAAAGATGAAGGATATGCTTGATGAGTTCCCCTGTAAGTACCCGGGCCACATGTCATTGCCTCATGCTGCTGGGCGGCAGCACTGTAAAAAGGCGCTGGATGCAAGAGTGAATTAAGAATGCTGGGGCTGTGTAGCGTTGGTTGCCTGTCCGGCGTTGGTGTGTGGCGTTGGGGTATCAAGTTGCCTCGTGCGTTTTGATATCGTATTAACCCGGTAGTAGTATCCACCTCCCTCTTTGGCGGTCGAAACCACGTTGGTATCCATGACCCGGCGTTAGTATCCACCCCCAACTTCAACAGAAGCAAGCGAAGGTGCGGATGGTGGCAACGGTTGTCGGCGGCTGGTGTTGGGCCGCGTTGCGCAGTCTGAGCCAAACCGCATTTCCTGCGGTTCGCACATCGACGCAGACGAACGGGTCGGGGTGGATGCCGTCAAGGGAGATTTCGGAAGGAGGCCTGCGAAAGGCTGCGGGGCCGACCAGCTGCCTTTGGGTTTTCAGCGCAAGATCGCTGGGCAGCGACCGACGCTACGAGGCGCGAACCAAGAAGCTGTCGAGAATCAAGGCGCCCTGGTGTCTGGATTGAGCCAGCCCGATGGCCCCCCGGGGCGGTCAGAGCGGGTTCTGGAGTGGCGCCCGCCAAGGGCGCCCCAAGGCCCAGCAACAGGAATGGCCAGGCGACGGCGCTGGTGGGGGCGACCACCGATGTGAGGCCCCACCTCGCAGAAGTGCCTGCAAAACGCCACTTATGTGGGGCCCGTCCCCAAATCACACGCCACATTGGCTACCAGGCCACAAACCCAGTCACAGATCCCATAAGCCATCCCAGCGGGCATCAGCCAGGGAAAACGCCGGGGCCCAAGCCCGTCGCCACGGCGCTGCGCCCCAGTATGTTGAGGCCCGTGTCGGTACTCGTTCTTCGCATCGAAGAGGAAAACGCCCCTGGAGCATTCCAGCGAACCCCTGTTGGACCAAACTGCCAGTCGTCCCCTTACAGAAGCGTGGTGTTGATGATTCTGCTGCCTATGCACTGCATCTTGCATTGTTTCAAGCCAATTTTTGGGCATTTCGTGGCTAATTTTCAAGAATTTTCTTTTTCTACTCCTTGGATCAGGGGTCAAAATTGCGTTGGTATCCATGACCCACTATTAGTATCCACTGCTCATTTGGGGGATCCAGTACACGCCTACTAATACCGGGTAGATACAGTAGTTATATGCCCCCATTGTACAGCTGTACTCTCTTGCTTGTCCATCGCGTTACCAAAATCGATGTCGATTGCATTGTCCTCAAATGGCACAGTACTACCATTGCACCCACAAGTCGATGTCGCTCATGTTTGTCGCCTAGTGCTGCTTGGCTCCCTTTCACCGCCACATAGCCACCCTGCCGTTTGGCAACTTGTGTTCCTT